TTTTTGATTTATTGTAGAGATGCGGTCTCGCCAAGTTGCCCAGGCGGGTCTCGAACCCGTGGGCTCAGGCAATCCACTCTCCTCAGTCTCCCAAAGGTGCAGGATTATAGGCTGAGCCACCGAGCCCAGCTATAACCTCCTTTTTCCACTTGACCGTTTTGATCATCTTCCTATGACTTTGAATGTCCTTCTAGGACATAATTTTACAGGCTGCATAACTTTCCACTATGGGGCATAACATAATCTACACAGGCAGACCCTTTTCTGAGCTGTTTCCTTTTTTGTTGGGATGGGGGTAATGCTATTAAAATAACGCTGTATGCTGTGACAAATATCTTCAAAGAGAAACCTTTGTGTACATGTGTAATTATTTCCTTAGGATGAATTCCTAGAATTGAAATTCCTAGGGTGAAGGACAGATATACTGTCGGCTAAAAATCTGTACAAGGGGAACCCAAAAAAACCCAGAATTTATTTATAAAAAATTGTGTATTTATTCTAACATTTTAAAACTTCAGTCACCTTCAAAGTACTCTCCATTTGATGCAGTATACCTATTGAGATGCTTTTTCCACTGCTCAAAACAGTTTTTGGAACTTGTCCATTTTGATGCCTTTTAGTGCTTCTGCTGTTTTTTGTTTCACATCTTCCACATCAGCAAAACATTTCCCTTTGAGAACTTTTTTCATCTGGGGCGAGATCAGGTGAATGGGAGGGGTGGGCACAAGCATCACGACATTTTTGGTCAAAAACTGCTGAATACTCAGTGCAGTGTGGACAGGTGTGCTCATAAATTACCCATCATGAAATGGGCAAACGTGTTGAAAGCATCTCCAAAAAAAATTCACCGAAGCCAAATGCAGCCTCTCACAACAACACTAGCTGGTACACTGACACCAGTGGGTTCCTAGAACACTTACCTAGCAGTGGAAGCCTGTACTACAAGGGGCCTGCCCTCTAAAAGATACTTCTGGGTCCCTCCTTATACCCATTCCCATTCCCACCAGCAGCCTAGGAGAGTGCCCACCCCCATGGGCAAGGACAACACATTCATTCCAACCAACTTGAATTGCCGCACACCCACTTGCTGATAAAAACTCTTAAAATTGTACATCGACCCTAAACGATGTACTGAGTACCAGGACATCTGCATTTAATTTTAAAAGTCCCGAATAGAAACACAAACAAGAAGAAAAAATGAAACACAAGCTTTGTGACTGTGTGAAACACCATACACTAATCCCTTACTCAGCACATCTCAAAGCTAGTTGTTCTAGAGTCTGGGACAGCAGTTTTGATTTCCCTGGCTCTGAGTGTAAAAGCCTCCCACCCCAGTGCTGCCACTGACCTCCAAAGTGCAGGACAGGCTGATCCCACTCAGCTGGGTTCTTTGCTTTCTCCCTTAGACTCTTAGGAAGAGGAAAAGGACAAGGATAGAGTAGGTGCTTAAAAGAAACCAAATGTTCTCAGTTTAGGACGTGGGAAAGTGGAAGCTCACAATGAGAAATGCATCCAACACAAAGAAAACATCAGAGACGCTGCCCTCCCATTTGCTGATCAATTTAGAAAATGAATGTGCACCTACGAGGCCACGATAATGAAGTCACCATCAAGCCTCAGCAGGCCCTGAGATCCATGCCCAGGCCTGCACATGCACATCACTCCTCTCCCCTTCACACGTGTGGAGAGACAGTGACTCCTCTCACCACATCTGCACCCTGAATCAATACACAAACCACAGAGGCCTGTGTACCAAGTGAATTCAGGTTTCACTTTCTCAGCTGGGCTACCTCAGTCATGTTACTTAACTTCTCTGAGCCTCAGTTTCCTCCTCTTTGACTTGGAAATGACACTCATAAGGAGGATGAAATGTAATAATATACACGGCACCTTGCTAGGCACATCACACATAGTTCATCTAACATTAGTCCTTTCCCAGAGCCCTTCACAGAGCCAAGAGTTTTCTTATGTGACAATCTAGATCAGTGCTGTTCAATAGAACTTTCCATGATGATGGAAACATTCCAGTTCTGTGCAGTCCAATGTGGTCACCACAGCTTATATGGTGATGGAAACATTCTATTTCTATTCTGTTCAATATGGCTGCCACTACTCACATGATGTTGGAAACATTCTACTTCTGTCCAATACGTTGCCTCTACTCACACGGTGATGGAAACATTCTACTTCTGCTCTGTCCAATACTGTTGCCACTACTCGCATGTGGTTACTGAGCCCTTGGAATGTGCTAGTGCAGTAGAATAACTGACTTTCAAATTTAATTAATTAATTGATTTTTTAATTTTTAATTTTTATTTATTTTTTTGGGGTGGGAGTCTCACTCTGTCGCCCAGACTGGAGTGCAGTGGCCGCTCCCGG